CTCTATCCCGTGCTCTAGGGTTTAGGGTTTAGGGTTTAGAGCCCAGGGCTTAGGGATCAGGGTTTAGGGTTTAGGGTTTAGGGTTTGTGTATCTGGGCAGGTTCCGTTCCAACAAGGCGGCCGCTGCGAAGGCTCGGCGTCGGTTGGCGTTTGCAGCAGCAGCAGCAGCAACAGCAGCCACAGCAGCAACAGCAGCAGCAGCAAAACGCGAAGCAGCAAGCGGGACTCTCCCGTTTGTTCTTTGTCTCCCCCTTCAACTACTTTTTCAGATTGTGACCTGCCTAAACACCCCAAAGCCCGAGAAACCAAAAGAGACAAAAAAGCAAATTTTGCTGCTGCTGCTCGAAGCAAGGTGTACGTACACCCCGCTGCTGCGTTGTGGGGCGGCTGCTGCTGCTGCTATTTTGGGAGCAGCAAATGCGTTTTGGGGTCTTTTTGCAGCTTTTTGCTTCCCAAATGCATTCTGCATGCACTCGTAATGAAAATAAAATTATATCGCTTATTTAAACTTCCCGAAAATACCTTTTTTGCACTTTTTGGAGCATTTTTGCCGCTGCACTCGCTGCGCGCTTGCTGCTGCTGCTGCTGCTGCTGCTCTATGAAGATTTTGGGAAATCTCCATTTAAATAAATGCAAATAATGCATTTATTTGTAATACAAATAGATGTTTGTACCTCTGTATATTATATATATATATACATAATATTATAAAACAAATGCTTATATTTCTGTACATAACATTTATGTATATTATATCTATTTTTGCATTTATGAAAACTTTTAATCTGCTTGTGTTGAATTGTTTTCGATATTTGCTTTTGCTGCTGCTCGTTGCTGGTGCAGCAGACACGGCAGTGGAGAGGATGGCAGCAGGAGGGGCTTGGGAACCTCTGAGGCAGACGCGCAGCAGCAGCAGCAGCAGCAGCAGCTGCAACAGCTGCAGCAGCTGCAGCAACACGAGCTGCTGCTGCTGCACGCCCAGGAGCAGCAGCAGCAGGCTCAGGCCCATCGGCTGCACCGAATAGAGCCGCGGCCGCCGCCGCTGCTCCAGCAGGAGCTACAGCAAGATCAGCAGCAGCAGCAGCAGCAGCAGCAGCAGCTGGCCACCAAATATGACTTTTTAACAACTCCAGAAGGCGTCTGCTGCTTAAAGACACCCGCCAGCACCTGCGACAGCGACAGCATCCACCCCGAGGATGAAGCAGCAGCAGCAGCAGC